CCGCCCCCCGGCCTGCGTTCGCGTCCAAGTGTCCTGCTTCCAACTGGCCCCGCGAGGCGGAGCGCGGGGAGATACGCGCTTCGTTCGCTGCAGGCCTGGGCCCAGGCTCGCCTGGCCGGGGACCGTGGAAGTCGCTTGGACACTGTCCTCGCCCTGGCCCACAGACGGCGGCTGGGGTCGCAGCGCCAGCCCTGAACTTTCACCCGGGTCGCGCCCCTACGCAAGAGCGTCGTTGCCCTGGTGACGTGACGTCCTCCGCCGGGTAGTGCTCTGCGGCGGAAAGAGGAGCGGCCGCCATTTTGAGAATGTGTGGTACCCTGTGGTCTGACTGACGAGTCAGGATGGTAGTGCGACTCCAACCGCTGGGGGTCCTTCGACCTACATTAACCACATCCGTACTTTGGCTGTCACCAGCAACACAGCGACGGTAATAAATGCTTTTAAGTGATACTTCATACATACACGTGCTCGCTACTGCCCCTTTTGTTGCATTCCCCACCATGAGTGAATTTGTGTCTGCATTTTGTTAACGCAAGGAACCAAAATAAGTGAACATACCACTAAGGTATCGCTTTCTTAATAAGGCAAAGTTACTGTGTTTCACCTGAAGAAAAAAAAAGCTGTGGCGAACTTATTCGTGACGTTCACTTCAGATTTGGGAATCTTAACAGGGTAGCCTCAAAATCCCCAGTTTTGTTGGTTTAAAAGTTAAACATATGCCCATCACCCACTGCTTCCATTTTCCACGAAGTTTGACTTCTTCCCCATGTTGGGACACCTTCCAAGTTTGCTGGTTGGAAGTCCGCAAGACAGCCCCTGAACTCTTTAAATTGGACTCAAATGATTTAGAGGCTCCTGTAACGGAATTTTGAAGCCAGTTTGTCGGGATCAAGGTACCAGAGTTTTCCCCCAAGTGATTGATAACCTGGCAGTTCTTCGTTCGTGAGACTCCTAATTGGCTCGAGGGCTGTCACATTTGGATCTCTGATCTCAAAACTATAAATGAGCCTTTTTTCTTTTGCGGTTTTACTGAAAATGATGGCTTAGTTGTTAAGCTTTTAGGTTTTCAGGCCACAATGGGAAAGACCTTTTGGTGTTCATTGAAAGAAAGCCATGGCTTATTAAAAAAACAAACAAACAAAAAACAGATATAACTCTATCCAGAGGAAAAGTGTAGTTTATTGAAAGCATGTGGAAAAAACCCCTGTGCATTCGCAAAGTACGCATACTTTCAAGGGTACCGTTTGCAGATAGAACTCGTCAGTTTGGTGTGGAGAGGAAGTGTTCTCCTGGCCCATCCGTGATGGTTTCCAGTCTTTGGGGGAAGACATAACGTCAGTCATCATGTGTCAGGGTACCACATTAAGCATCTTTGAAGCATCAGCTACTGCTAGGAAGTCAGTATAGTGTGTTTAAGAGTAGGGGCTCTGGGTTCCAGAAGTCTGATTGGAAGTGTTGGGGCCCAGGGCAGGCCACCCCAAAATATGACTATTGATTATTTTGATTACTTTGAATTAAAGTTACTTAAAGAATGGCTGATGCAAGAGTGACACTTTGACCCTCCTGTGTCCCTGAAACCAGGAAATAAATCTCCTATGTGAATAGGATGCTCCCTGTACTAGGAAGTAGGAAGATATCCTTACCATCAGAGATAGGCGAAGTCTATATAAGCAGAGCTTGTCATTTGTTTAATTTACTACCCCAAACCCAAATTCTGTTTAGGTTCTTCACTGATTAAGCACCTGAAGCCTGAGTTTCTTTCGCCTGACAATTCCTCACAAGTTTGTTTCTGTGTGTAAAAAGTATAAAAGCTGCCTGGTTTGCTGCTTCTTAGCCCTCATTTCTATGGGACATCCATATACATAAATTAACATTTGTTTCTTTTTCTCTTGCTAATCTGCCTTTTGTCAATTTTATTATTAGTCCAGCCATAAGAACTCGAGTGAGGGTAGAGGGGGAAATTTCCCCAACCTGGACAGAACCCAGACACCTCACTACTTGTGTGATCCTGAGGTTACCTAATCTCTCTAGTGCTCAGTTTCCACATCTTGTAAAATTGGGCTAATAATAGATACAGAAGTTGCCCTACACGGAGTTGTATAAACTGGATTAAATCAAATAACTTTAAATTACTTAGCAAGGTAACTGGCACAGCTCAAGTCCTTAGTGAGGATGAGTGATTATGCTTATGTAGAGAGGCTATATTTGTAATGCCTGTTTTTGTCACTCTGAATTACGTATGACCCAATCAGAATGAACATTTTGTTGAAATACTTGCTGTAGCTATTTGGTGGTTAAAATTAATTTTTTCCATTATATTTGTACTTTGCACTTTATTAGAATAAAATTAGTAAAGCTTATGGTACAAGGCCTTTGGTTACTCGTGTATTAAGTATTCATTCAACATATATTGAAATAGTGGAGGCTATGTGCCAGGAACACATTGATTTCTGCAGATACAAATTCAAATAGAAATTATCCTTATCCTCAAGAAATTTATCAGAATATAACTTGGGAAACCAATAGGGCATTAATAATTATAGAGTGTGTGATAAGCAGATAGGCATCTGAGCTAAAGAAACATAAAAGTGGGACACAGAAATCATTCTGAGGAAATCCAGATGAATGCAATTGAGTTTTAAAAGACAAGTAGAAATTAGCTAGATGAAGCTGTGGGAGAGGAGGTGTTCAGAGTAGGGGTATTTTCAGTCATTCATTCAGTTAAATATTTATATCATGTATCGAGTCAGGTACCTATGTACTTTATTTAATCTTAATGTTATGAGGTAGCTTATTATTCTCATTTCACATAAGGAATCTGAGCTTCAGAAGAGTAAAATATGGTAAGATCTGGAATTGAGCACATATCTGTATATCTCCAAGATCCATATTTTTTCTGTTACCCTGCTGATTCACATAAAATGAAACATTACCAAAACTCTGGATCTGCTTCTTCAGCCAGAGAAAATATTTGTCCAGGGATTATCATGGCATACATGTTTTTGTGTGATTTATGCAACATTTTCAGTTCATACCCATGTCATTCCTCTTGCCAAAAAGTAGGAGGAAAAAAACCACCACTCATAAAACTCTCACTTTGTCCCCATGACCTAGAGCCCTTTAACCACAGGGCTCTGAAAATAACCATGCAGAGCTGCAGCACAGAGTAGGATGGCTTAAAGAGAAGGTGAAATGTCTCAGGGAATTAGAAAGCTGAATTTCCAAGGCAAGGGAATAGAATTGCTAAAATTTTGTAAAGGTTGGTTTGGGGTAGGAGTGGGGTTCAAACCAAAGAAACCAAAGAAAAAAAGAGGATAAGCCCAACCTTGGAATGAAGTGACCACAAAATTTGAGGTATATTAAAATAAGCACAGAGGAAGGAAAGGTTTAGAAAGAAATATAATCCACTCTGAGACAGTTTGAGAGGCTTGTGGGATATGTGTAGTTAGATATATAGGACTGCACTTTGGGAGAAAGGTCAAGACGTAAAGATTTGGGAGTATACATTAAAAAAAAAGTTGAAATCACAAGATTGAAAGACAATGGACAAAGTTTGACATTAGTGGCTGCAAAGAAGACCATCAGGAGAGAAGAGAGGGACTATAAAATAAGATGATTGATTTCTTTTTTTAAATTTGTTTTATTGAGTTATAGTCAGTTTACAATGTTATGTCAATTTCCAGTGTATAGCACAATTTCTAAGTTATACATGAACATACATATATTCTTTGTCACATTCTTTTTCACCGTGAGCTACCACAAGATCTTGTATATATTTCCCTGTGCTATACAGTATAATCTTGTTTATCTATTCTATATAGATACCTGGCAGTATCTACAAATTTTGAACTCCCACTCTGTCCCTTCCCACCCCCCTCCCCCGGCAACCACAAGTTTGTAGTCTATGAGTCTATTTCTGTTTTGTATTTATGTTCATTTGTCTTTTTCTTCTCTTTTCTTTTCTTTTCTTTTTTAGATTCCACATATGAGCAATCTCATATGGTATTTTCTCTTTCTGGCTTTCTTCACTTGGAATGACATTCTCCAGGGACATCCATGTTGCTGCAAATGACGTTATGTTTTTAATGGCTGAATAGTATTCCATTGTATAAATATACAACATCTTCTTTATCCAGTCATCTGCTGATGGACATTTAGGCTGTTTCCATGCCTTGGCTATTGTAATAGTGCTGCTATGAACACTGGGGTACAGGTGTCTTTTTGAAGTAGGGTTCCTTCTGAATATACACCCAGGAGTGGGATTACTGGGTCATACGGTAAGTCTATTCCTAGTTTTTTCAGGAATCTCCATACTGTTTTCCATAGTGGCTGCACCAAACTGCATTCCCACCAGCAGTATAGGAGGGTTCCCTTTTCTAGACAGCCTCTCCAGCATTTAACA